CTATAGAAAATAATTATTTTTGAGTTAGAAAACTCATAACGATCTATAAAATCAACTTATTTTACAAATTAAGTATAAATAAGAAAATACCGGTTTTTCGGAAAACCAGTATTTTTGAAAATTTCTTTATTTTTATACAAGAAAACTATAGAAATTCTTTAAAATGAAAATAAATTACAAGAAAATGTGAAAATTAAGAAATACTGGTTTTTAGAAAAACCGGTATTTTTGAAAAAATTACCCTTTTTCAGCAATAAAATTATAGAAAATCATTATAATGAAAGAAAATTACAAGAAAATGTAAAAATTAAGAAATACTGGTTTTTGAAAAAAACAGTATTTTTGAAAATTTCTTATTTTTGAATAAGAAAACTTTGAATTATAAAGTTTAACAGAGAATTTTTGCTTAAAATTAAGAGAATTTTAAGTTTTTCTTTCAAAATCAACTGTTTTTAAACATTTTAATTTATTTTTTTATAAAAAAGTTAAATAATAATTTATTTATATATCATTTTCTAATTTAATATTTTAATTTTAAAATAGTAAAACCTTATTTAACAATTAACAATATATATATACTTTATATATAAAAATAAATAAAATATATATAAATATTTAACTTTAAACAAATAAATAAAAAAACAAAATAAAATTCCTTTACTTTTCATACAAACATTAAGAAAAAACACAAAAAAATAATTAATAAATAAATTAATTTATAATTATTTTGTCCTACTTCCTGTTTTCTTGTTCCCTTCCTTGAAAAATAAAATTTGTTTGTATAAAAAACAAAAAAAGAAGAAAAATCATAATAAAACCTTAAAAAATAAATTAGTTACATATTTGTTTAAAACATATTTTTTATGATTAATAAATTTAATAATAATAAAATAAACAAAATAATAATTTAGTTTATTTGTTTAACATTTTAATAATAATTTTTCTTCATTATCATTATTATAAATAATTTAATAATTAAAAAAAAAAAACCCGCAAATACTAAAAATCTTTAACCTTAAAAAAAAATTAAGCAAAATACAACAAAATTTTCTTTTAGCAATTAATTAATTTTCGAATTTTTTGTTTTAAACGCAAAAACTTTAAAAACAAGTAAAATAAAATAAAACAAAATGTTGTCGGGCAATGTCATAAACAAAATGCTATTTATTATATTTAAATAAAAAAAGTAAACAAAAAATAACAACAAGAACAACAAAATAACATTTAACAACAAAAAACTCATATAAAATAATATAAAAATAATAAGAAAAACAAACAACAACAACAACAAACAAAACAAGTAAACTTTACTTATGTTAGTTAATCGTAAAAATGAGAAGAAAAACAACCATCAATAAAACAAATAAAAATTTAAAAAAATAAAAAAACAAATCGTGAGTTTTAATTAATAAAAACATATAACAATGGCAACCCTTAGTAAGTCTAGTCTATAGTTTAGTCTATAGAATAGTCTATGCTCTAGTGTATAATCTAATCTAAAGTATAGTCTCATCTAGTTTGTAGTACAGTCTAATCTAGTATGTAGCTTAGTGTTTTGTCTAATCTATATTATAGTCTAATCTAGTCTGTAGACTAGTGTTTTGTCTAATCTATAGTCTAGTCTATAATAAAGTCTAATCTAGTCTGTAGCCTAGTGTTTAGTCTATAGTCTTCTAGATAGTGTAGTATATAGTCTACTAGATAGTCTAGTCTATAGTCTAGTCTATAGTCCAGTCTATAGTCTAGTCTATAGTCTAGTCTATAGTCTATACTCTAGTCTATAGTCTAGTCTATAATCTAGTCTATAGTCTAGTCTATAGCTTAGAATATAGCCTAGTCTTTAATTAGTCTTTATTCTAGCAATAGTCTAATCTAGTCTATACTTTAGTGTATATTCTAATCTAGTTTATACTTTAGTGTATATTCTAATCTAGTCTATACTTTGGTGTATATTCTAATCTAAAGTATAGTATAATCTAGTTTGTAGCCTAGTGTTTAGTCTAGTATTTAGTCTAGTCTATAGTATAGTATAATCTAGTCTGTAGCCTAGTGTTAAGTCTATAGTCTAATCTATAGTCTTTGCTATAATCTAATCTATAATCTAAGCTATAGTCTAATCTATAGTCTAGTCTATAGCCTAGTCTATAGTATAGTATAGTCAATAGTCTAGTATATAGTATAGTCTATAATCTAGTTTATAGTCTAGTCCACAGTCTAGTCTATAGTCTGGCCTATAGTCTAGTGTATAGTCTAGTTTATAGTCTAGTCTACTCTACACTTCAGTCTGTGGAATAGTCTATATTCTAGTGTATACTCTAGTCTATATTTTAGCCTATAATCTAGTCTATATTATAGTCTAATCTACTCTGTAGTCTAGTGTATAGTCTAGTATTTAGTGTAGTCTATAGTCTAGCCTATAATCTACTCTAGTCTATGTCTAGTTTACAGTTTCTACAGTTTAGTCTAGTCTATAGTCTAGTTTACAGTTTCTACAGTTTAGTCTAGTCTATAGTCTAGCTTATAGTATAGTCTATAGTCTAGTCTATAGTCTAGTCTATAGTCTAGTCTATAGTCTAGTCTATAGTCTAGTCTATAGTCTATAGTCTAGTCTATAGTCTAGTCTATAGTCTAGTCTATAGTCTAGTCTATAGTCTAGTCTATAGTCTAGTCTATAGTCTAGTCTATAGTCTAGTCTATAGTCTAGTCTATAGTCTAGTCTATAGTCTAGTCTATAGTCTAGTCTATAGTCTAGTCTATAGTCTAGTCTATAGTCTAGTCTATAGTCCAGTCTATAGTCTAGTCTATAGTCTAGTCTATAGTCTAGTCTATAGTCTAATCTATAGCCTAGTCTATAGTCTAGTCTATAGTCTAGTCTATAGTCTTGTCTATAGTCTAGTCTATAGTCTAGTCTAAAGTCTAGTCTAAAGTCTAGTCTATAGTCTAGTCTAAAGTCTAGTCTATAGTCTAGTCTAAAGTCTAGTCTATAGTCCAGTCTATAGTCTATGGTCTTGTCTATAGTCTAGTCTATAGTCTAGTCTGTAGTCTAGTCTATAGTCTAGTCTATAGTCTAGTCTATAGTCTAGTCTATAGTCTAGTCTATAGTCTAGTCTATAGTATAGTCTATGGTCTAGTCTATAGTCTAGTCTATAGTCTAGTCTATGGTCTAGTCTATAGTCTAGTCTATAGTCTAGTCTATGGTCTGGTCTATAGTCTAGTCTATAGTCTAGTCTATAGTCTAGTCTATAGTCTAGTCTATAGTTCAGTCTATACTCTAGTCTATAGTCTAGTCTACAGTCTAGTCTATAGTGTAGTCTAGTCTATACTCTAGTCTATAGTCTAGTCTACAGTCTAGTCTATAGTGTAGTCTAGTCTAGTCTATAGTCTAGTCTAAAATCTATAGCCAAGTCTATATTTTAGTCTATGCAATAGTCTATACTCTAGTCTATGCAATAGTCTATACTCTAGTCTATGCAATAGTCTATACTCCAGTGTATAATCTAGTCTATATTCTAGCAATAGTCTAATCTAGTGTTTAGTCTATAGTCTAGTCTAAAGCCTAGTCGATAGTCTAGTCGATAATCTAATCGATAGTCTAGTCTATAGTCCAGTATATAGTCTGGTATATAGTCTAGTCTATTGTCTAGTCTATAGTCTAGTCTATTCTATAGTCTGGTCAATAGTCTAGTCTATAGTCTAGTCTATAGTCTGGTCTATAGTCTAGTTTATAGTCTGGTCTCTAGTCTAGTCTATAGTCTAGTCTATAATCTAGTCTATAGTCTAGTCTATAGTCTAGTCTATAGTCTAGTTTATAGTCTAGTCTATAGTCTAGTCTGTAGTCTAGTCTATAGTCTAGTCTATAGTCTAGTCTATAGTCTAGTCTATAGTCTAGTCTATAGTCTAGTCTATAGTCTAGTCTATAGACTAGTCTAATTATGTCTGTAGCCTAGTATATAGACTAGTCTAATTAAGTCTGTAGCCTAGTATATAGGCTAGTATGTAGTCTTGACTATAATCTAGTACAACGGTTGCCAAATGTTGAGCAAGGTAATCAAGTTTCAATGCCCATATCTCAGGAACCGTTTTAGATATTTACATGAAACTATCTGCATATGAAAGCTAAGGAATTAAACATTCACATCGATATACTTTGCTTCTCAAAAAACAACCGAATTAGTGGAAAATAGTGGTATTTAGTTTACGCCCACTTTTTTCATCGTAGAATGGGCGTGGCAGCATTTTTTGTTTCTAGAAAACTAATCCTCATTTTTTTAGCTATCTACCAGCCAAATTTCATTCAATTATCTATAAGAACCACCGAGATATTAAACAAAAACCAAAATACCTTTTAAACCACAAAAAGCGAAAAACTAAAATTTCAAAAAATTCGTTTAACACCAGGTCACCAGAAGTTGTTAGTAGGTGAATTTCTGTTGAAGATTTTCTTTAAATTGCTATAACTCGAAAACCGTAAGAGGTATTTGAATAAATGTTTCACCATCTGATAGTTTGGAATTTTGGCTAAATGATGAGCAACCTTTGGCCTGCCTAGCAGTACAATTTAATAGCTAAAAAATGCTAGCTAAAGTTTAAACACTAATATCTCGTGATATAATTAACTTATGGAAATTTTTAATAGCTTATGGGAATCTGGAATTCTTATTTTATTAATCTACCAAGTTTTATTTCAATATCTGTAATATTTTTGGAGATATAGAACAATCTGTCAAACCATCTGCCGTCGCATTTTGTGATAATTTACTACTTCAAGGTAAAGTTTCAATGCCTTTAACTCAGGAACCTTTTGGGATATTTACATGGAACAAACTGCATATGAAAGCTAAGGAATTCTGCTTCACCATAGATATAAGCCGATAGGTCTCAAATCCTTCAGCGTGTGGATGGATAGCCTTCGAAAACTAGATTAATAAATTGTTCCTCGATTACTGCGAAACATTTGTTATATTATTTAAAACTGAAATAAAACAATACATATACATACACGTTTTTGTCCATTAAATTAACATTTAATTCAATATTGTCATTTTGTTTTAAGATTCGGGTCAATGTTAAACAACTGTTTAAATGAAATAATTTAAATTTATGTTAAAGCTGAAAGGAGTAGTTACAAATTATACGAGATTATAGGCAAAATTTATAAAATATGGATCAATTACTCGATTTTTTTATTTATAAACTTAAATTAATGAGGAAGTACTTATATGATCAAGTTATGTTGGAAATAAAAAAAGTTGTTAAACAATTTAAATTAAATCTGTTATAAACTATAGTCAATTGGACCATATATCAATTAATAAACTAGTCCATAGGTTAGGCCATAGACAAGACTGTAGACTATTCCAAAGACTAGTTCATAGACAAGACCGTAGACTATTCCATTGACTAGACAATATACTAATTAATGGAGTAGTCCGTAGACTAGTCAATAGAGTAGTTCATAGACTAGTCAATAGAAAAGTCCATTGACTAGTCCATCGCCTAGTCAATAAGCTAGTCCATAGACTATTCCAAAGACTCTTCTATAGACTATCTCGTAGTCTATTTCATAGACTAGACAATGGACTAGCCATAGTCCGTAGACTATTCCATATACTAGACAATATACTAATTAATAGAGTACTCCATAGACTAGTCAATAGAGTAGTTTATAGAGTAGTTCATAGACTAATCAATAGAAAAGCCCATTGAGTAGTCCATAGTCTAGTCAATAAACTAGACTTGTCTGTAGACTATCCCGTAGTCTATTCCATAGACTAGACAATAGACTAGTCCGTAGACTAGCCATAGTCTAGTCAATAAACTAGTCTATAGAAAAGTCCATAAACTAGTCCATAGACTAATCAATAGCCTATCAATAGCCAATAGCCAAACCTATGGACGTTAGTCCACAGGAATAAGAATTATGGTAACTTGACTTCTACTAACGTTCAACATTTAGGAATGGATTCAAACATTATTGATAAATTAATAGTAAATAAAAAGTAAATCCTGTCAAATCACTATTTCTAACCTTCATCAACGTCTTAAACCACCACGCCCATAAAATTTCGTTGCAGTAGGCAGAGGAGCTTGAGTTTTTTGACCATACTGACGTTGATGCGTGGAAGATCTACTACTGCTATCATTGCCATACGAACGTGCCTGCGAATAGGCCTCATGGGGAGCAGATCTGCCATGAGAGGGTTGAGCAAAAGCCGAATATCTAGAATCATATGTTGCTGAAGATGATGATGATGATGAACCAGCACCATTATCTTTTGCAATTCTTTGAGAGTACACCGCTGACTTGGCTCTAGGATCATTAATGGAAAATTGTGTACCATCGGCTCCTCGAACACTTTGTATGGTCAGCTGGGGAGCTGGCTCCCTTTGTGGTTGAACATTACCTCTACGTCGCGAAGGACTAGTATTGGTTGTGGTGGTCGTGGTATAATTATTTATAGCCTGAGTTTGTGGCGTTGACAAGGCGGAGGGAATTTGTGATATTTTATATATATCCACTATTTGCATTTGGACTTTATACATTTCCATGGCATTGCTGGCATTGGCATTAGGTTGTCGTATCAATTCGGCAAATTGGTGTATGGCCATTAATTGATTCTCATTAAGATCACGTATAATATTCATGATGGGTGAATCATCATCTTGATGTATATTCTCGGTAGGCGATTGTGTCTCTAGTGTCTGACAGCCTATACTATAGACATTGGGTTCCACTTGTATAGCTATGTCATAACCTTTTGCCTTACGCTGCATATCAAATTCCTCCAGATCATCTGTTTGGGTCATGGCATTACAGTATAACGATGAGCTGGTTTCTATTAATTCCTCTTCTTCGTCATTTTCCGTTGGCTCCTTATTGCCCGGCTCCTGTTTGACTTTTTTCAATTTGGCTGGGATTTTAATGGTTTTCAATTTGTTATGTATAAACTGGGCATCACAGCCTACTAGTTTTGCCACTTTGGCGGCATGTGTAGGAAGAGCAGCTAAACCCCATTCCTCCATGTTGAAACGGGTGATATGTGAATTGAATTTATAACTAACATTGTTGATTGTGTGCAGGGGAGAACGATTTTCATAGATTTGTTGCTGAACATAAGAATGGCTGGTGGGCAATTTGCGTACCGTGGAAACGAAGGGAAAGGTAGAGAAAATATTGGATTCTTCATCGCCAGCAGAATCTTTGAGATGTTGCAGCAAGGCAGTGGCACGTCTGACAGCTAAGCAAATAAAAAATAACAAAAATTTTAAATAATTTACTCTACATAAATCTTGAAATTAAAAATATACACATTTTGTTCAAGTAACCATTCATTTTTAAAACGGTTACTTTTTTTAAATAAGAAAAAATCCTAAAAAATTTTCTAGTTTTGTATTTAAAACTCAATAAAATAAAATTGTATGAAAAAATTTCAATAAAAAAGTGGTTACTTTTTAAAATATTAAGCGGTTACTCTTGGAAAATTGCACTAAAATCAAATTTTATTTACTAATTTACTTTATATTCATCAAAAAATTCTAAATACAAAATTTTGGAAGAGTAACCACTTATTTGTAAAACGGTTACTTTTCTGTAATTATAGAAAAATCTTGAAAAAATCTGCAGAATTGCTATTAAAATAAAAAAGTATGGTAAACAATGAAAAAAGATGGATAAAAAAGTGGTTACTTTATAAAATATTAAGCGGTTACTCATGAAAAATTGCGCTAAAATCAAATTTATTAACTACTTTACTTTATATTCGTCTGCAAATTCAAAATACATAAATTTGGATGAGTAACCACTTACTTGTAAAACGGTTACTTTTCTTCAATTATAAAAAAATTTCAAAATTTTTTGCAGAATTGCTATTAAAACGAAAAATGATTCTATGTTATGAAAAAATATCAATAAAAATGTGGTTACTTTTTAAAATATCAAGCGGTTACTCTTGAAAAATTACGCTAAAATCCAAAATTATTAACTAATTCACTTTTAATTCCTCAACAAATTCAAAATACATAAATTTTTATGAGCAACCACTTATTTGTAAAACGGTTACTTTTCTTCAATTATGGAAAAATCTGAAAAAAATCTACAGGATTTCATTTAAAATGCAAAATCAGTCTATTTAATGGAAAAATACGGATAAAAATGTGGTTATTTTATAAACTACTAAGTGGTTACTCTTGAAGAATTCAACTAAAATCAAAATTTGTTAAATAATTTTCTTTATACAAGTATAGTATTACAAAACGCTCATTTTTGTACAAGTTTTTTCTCTTACCTCTTTCTCTCTTTTGCTTTGGCGTTAAAACCTCCTCAATGTCTTCCACATTTTCTACAAAATTTGTACTCTCTATAATAAAAACAAAAAATTTAAAATATTACTTAAAATTTCCAGCTTAATATTCAAATACCAGTTGGATTATTATCCGTATAGTTGCTGATAGCTTCCGTTTTTACTCTAATATTTTGATCCACTCTTAGACCATCCTCTATATACTGCCTATTAAAAATATTAGTTGAAGCTGCTGTTGTTTTTGTTTCTTGGCGTGGAGGAGGTGAATTTCTACTACGTTTAATTTTATCATGATTTGTGTTATCACCAACATCTTGATGCTGTTTCTCTTTAGTTTTATTATTTGAGGGCGAGACGGATCTAGATCTAGAACGTTTTCTTGACTTCTTTTTGGATTTCTTTTGTTTTTTACGTTTATTGCGTTTTTCTTTTTGTAATCTTTTCAATTCCTTTAAACGATCTGAATATTTTTCTTCTAACTCATTATTTCTAGCCTCTTCAATTCTTTCCTTTAACTTATCTTGTAGTAAATCATCAAAGAAATCGGCCGGTATATTTTCATCTTCACTATCATCCTCACTATTGCTGGAAACTTCTCCTGATTCTCTTTTGGTTTCTTTCGACTCTAAAAGATCATTAAAATAATCACTGGGTAGAGAAGAGGAATCTTCATTGTAATCTGGGGGAGTGGAAAACTCGGTTTTTACTCTAAGGCGATTTATGGCCGCTAAAGATATTCTTGGAGTGGCTATGCCATCTGCTAGACTATCTGTAGTAGTTACGGATGATATTAAGGGGGGCGGAGGTGGTGGTGATATGTCAGTTTCCATATTTTCACTTTCTTTATTTTGAGAATCCGGCTGAGGCGAAGGCTCGCGTCGTGGTGTTTGTGGTATAAGGGAAAACTCTGTTTTTACTCTTAAGCGAGGTCGTACAGGAGCTATAGGAGTGGCCAGACCATCTAGATAGGCATCAAGCGCAGATTTAGCTGTATTATCTGTTACAGAGTTAGTTGTGGGCATTTGAAAGGAATCTCCATTTACTGCTTCCATTGTTGGAAAATTGCTTAATAATCTAGTAGTTTCCAAATCGCTGGGTTGGGCAGCTTTCGAAGTATTATCTTTATCAGGAGTCTTTGACAAAGGCATATCATAATCCACAACATGAGCCTCCTCTAAGTCCGTTTCGGCTTTTACTTTTACCCCTTGTGTATCAGTTGGAATTTTTGCCATTTTATTGGCCTCTTGGTTGGCTGTTTCTTGAGTTTGTATTGGTGGTATGATCTCCACCTCTGGTACTCTCTGATTGTTATCATTCTGTTCAATATCTGTTGGCTCTGTTTTAACTGTTGGCATGTGAGTATCTTCACTATCATTTGTTGTCTGTGGTCCTATGGGCGAAAGGGTGGTCTTTCGGGTGTGGCTCTTGAATCTTCCTCATCTTCTTCCATTTGTGCTACACATGTTTGCATTTCTTCACTCATTTTTTCCAAATTGTTTAAAATAATGCACTTTCGTTAATAAATGCATCGACATTTGTTTGAATACATCAGCTGTTAAACAAACTCCTGATTCAAGTATTGAAATTATTGCCGGCTATAAATTTATAAAGCCAACGGCGTAAAAACTTATTTGTATTAAGGATAATAGCCTTATTTGTATTAAATTATATTAAAAATGTTCGACGATATTATTTTCGTTGTTTTATTATTGTTCTTTGCTAAAATTTAACAATTTAATTATTTGCTTAGTTTGTTTCGAATAAACAGACGCCGTTATTTTTACAGTCAATAGACGGCGTTGCGAAATTTGTTTACCTTTGGTATCTGTAATAATAACAACAGCTCAGTAATGAAATTTAGCGTTTTTTTTTTTGCTGTAAAAACATTTGGTGTGTTAATAAATATATTTTAAAGTATAGTTTTTATTACAAATAAGTAATAAAATATAATTTCCTAAGAGTTCAGTGATTTTTCCCATAACATTTAAATAATTTATTAGGCGATTTTGTTTTCTAGCACGTTTTGTTATAAAGAAAGCGTAGGCCATTTCAACAGCTGATTGTTTTTTTGCCCATGGAAATTTAGCCCGAAGTTGTCAAACTCAATATAAAAAAAAATTCTCTATCAAACCCGACGCTGTCAAACTACATATATAAAAAATTTCATGAATTCGCCGCAAAATGAAATGACTTCACCTTATAGTCTATTCGCCTAGGCGTAGGCATTACTATAATTACAAAATTTAATGCAAGTGAGGCCGTTGCTACATTACATTAAGGGTGAACCGGTACTATTAAAACAAAACTAAGGCAATACGAGGAAAAAAGTTGCAGTAAATGGAAATACACGTTATTTTTTAATATTTTCAATTATTTAACCATAATTTCATGAAACTTAAACTTAAGAGGGAAATGTTAACCCTTAAAATGGTACTTTCATTAATTATAGAAAATTTGCAAAAAAAATCCTTTAGTTTTGTAAAAATTGCTTTCAATTTAGAAAACACTAGTTACTTTGTTAAATTTTTAACGATTACTCGTGTAAATTTAGAATAAAATTAAATGAAATAACTTAAACTTAATAATATCTAGAAGCAAAATTTAGACAAAAATTGGTTTAACTTTTCCCTCATTTAATAAAAAAAATCCACAAAATTTCAAACTTTTGCACCAGTTTTCTTTAAATTTATTAATAGTTTTATAAAAAAAGTATAAAAAAATTATAAAAGTTATAAAAAGACCAAACTCTTTCAACCCAATAACACCTTACGCATCATATAACCACTGGCATTATTGCTGGAGTGAGGTCTAGGCGGTTCCTCATGTTCTATACACTTCGAAGAACATAGATATTGCAACAAAGGTACCCGATATTTGCCACAAAAATCTACAAACTTAATATGTTCTACACGATTATCGAAGAAAACACCTTTGCAGTTGGGATTAACACAACAATTGGCACAACTTAAATATTCCAAAGTGGTCTGGGGCACATCACCGGGACCCACTTCAATGCCCGACGACTTAACAATGCGTGCAGCCAGTTCCATAAGTGTAGGAGGATTGAGAGCCATATCCTGAACGAAACGCACAACCAAAGGATTATCGCGTAGACTTAGCTGTAAGAAAAGAAATTTAGAATTTTTAATAAAATATTAAAACTTTAGTTTCTCATAAATACCTCTGCCAAATTTTTCAGGGCCACTATATCTTTGGGCAAATGTTTCAAGCGATTTTTGTGCAGCAGCAAAGATTTGAGATTTTTCAAGCGTGCTATGCTAGTGGGTAGATTTTCAATAAGATTATCACATAAAACCAAGGCCTGCAACTGGCTTAAAACACCCACTGCCTCAGGCACCTCGGTTATCAAATTGCCACCCATAGACAAGACCTGAAGGCTGTTGATAATAAAGAAATAAAATTAGTTTTTGCTCAAATAACTCAAATTATTAAGTTTTTAATCTATAAAAGTTATCAC